TTTGTACACACAGGATTGTATTTATACAAATTCATTAGGTGAATTTAAAGTTTTGTCTAACCCATCCATAAAAGATGAAACTTACTATACCATCTCAAATTTTCACTCAGCAAGTTCTTCGACTCAACTCTAAGCCATGGGAAGATGAAGCCAGTCTGCTCTTCCGGGTGGCTCCACTGTGAGCGACTAAGGAGCCCGACTCCAGGGCCAGGAGTTAACTTGTCCCTGAGTCCCAGGCCATCAGTCCTCCTCTTTCAGAACAGCAAAGACAATGTGACTTCTTAAATCAGGCAAAAGAAGTTTCAGTCCCAGAGAGAAAAAGACAGAAGGCTTTGTTATGGGAACTGAGCAAGCTCTGGCCTGTCCGATGACAATCCAGGCATTTTGCCTTACCTGCTGTGTGCAGACCCCAGGGGCTTATTCCAATGAGAAACATCCGACATTCTGACAGCAACAGTGTGGGGCTCAACAGAACCTTTTTTTTTTTTTTAAATCATTTTAATGGACACCGACTAACTGTTAACCCGGAAGATACTCAGCTACTCAGTGGTGGGTGTTCAGCCTCTGTGGGGACACCGCCATGGGCTTTGTGAAAACGCAGCGCTCCCCCGCTGGGCTGCTGCAGGGACACTCAGACCTACAGGTGCAGCCCACCTCACACACCCACAAGAAGCGAGCTGGCGCACCCCCAAGGGTCTCTGAGGGGCATCATAGAAGCCCAGCTCTGCCGCAAGCCCCCAGCTCTGCCGCAAGCCCCCAGCTCTGCCCTAAGCCTCCAGCTCCTGGGGCGCGGGCCAAGCGCTTCCATCTGCCTCCAGGCCAAGTGCAGCTCTTCAGACACGTGACTGGCTTTCAAGCACCTGCTGACTGCCGCCCGGTGCAGCCAAAGGCTTATCTGTGACTCTTGACCAAACAGGAGGCAGTATCTAGGATGTATGTCATCCCCTCCTCAACTCCCTGAGGGCTAATTCTGTACAAAGTCAGGGCGTCAGGCAGCTCTGCAGATCGCACTAGCCTGGCTCTGTGACAGAAACGCCTGCACTGAATGAATACACTTCTACATTAATTTTTAATTTTTGTTTTCATCAAAGTTATACCTACACAGAGCTGAAAGAGTCAAGTGGTTCTGCAAGGCCTGTAATAAAAACAGAGGTCTCCATCTCCACTTTCCCATTCCCCAGACGCAAGCCAAGGGCCCTGACTATGTTTTTCCCTCACCTACAATTGATGAATTTCAGGACTGAAGTTCAACTGTTACTTCCCCTCAGAGTTTGGCAGCCAGGAGTCTGCTGGCTTTGAGGACTGCAATTACAGGAGTCGAATGTCATTCTCAAACTCGTCCTTTTTATGAAACCTATTTTTTAGTCTGCGAATTTCTCTCTCGCTGTTCCTGCTGCTTGCTGACGTCATGGGTGTGGGGCTGTTTCTACTGATGATCTAGGCAGTGGGAGAATCTTCGGGCTGAAAACCTCCTTGTCTATGTTTCTTTGCCTTCTTCTCTTTCTGCCTCTCTCTGCCTTTCCCCCTTTTTAGAGAGTCCTACTGTTTGAATGTTAGATTTCCTGAATGGGTTCTCGACTTTTATTTCCCCTCTGTCTTCCCATTGCTTTATTTCTTATTCTGATTTATGGGGGGGGGGGAGTGTCCCTCAATTTTATTTTATTTAGTTTTTAATTTGTCATCCCACATTAATTTCAGAAGCTTTGTCTTCTGAGTGCCCCAGGAGGCAGCAGATGGTGGACTTAGGCTGCTGGCTTCCACATGGGAGACCAAGATAGAGTTCAAGGCTTCTGGCTTTGAACTGGCTCAGCCCTGGCTATTAAGGGCACAGATGGTGGCTTAGCCCGCTGTGCCACAACACCAGCTCCAAGTTCTAGCTCTGCTATGTCTGTGTTGAACATCAAAATGTCTTCTTCTCTATTTGTTCTGTCTCTAAGGAGTGACTCAAACACCAAGACTGACCCCACCATCCTGGACTCGGTGCTACCTCCAATGCCTGGAACGCTTGCTGACCCAGTGCTACCTTAAATCTCCTAGGTTTCAGTCCCCTTGAATACCTAGTTACCCGTCATTACCTCCTAGCTCTCGGCACCCGCTTAAAGTCCTCTTGCCTAATCAAGCTTAGTGACCTTCAGGTCTAAACTTTGAGCTCCACCAATCGCCTGAGGCATTATGCCTGGCATCCACCTATAGCCACCTGTGCCAGTCCCCGACCTGGCACTCCCCACACCCGTCCTGAGCCTATAAAGGTGCCTCTTCCCTTTGTTCTCTCTCTCTGCTCCCACTTGCTCCCTGCCCCGTGTTACCTCCCTTGCTGGAATAAAGGCCGCTCGTGAGGCTCTCTTGCTGTGTCCACAGTCTTGGGTTTGTGGAAAAAAGCCAACACTGTCCTTATGTAAATATTTCTAATGATACACTGGAGATCTTGTTGATTTGTAAGAGCTCTTTTCTTTAAAAACTAAAACTTTTGTTTATTATTTGAAAGGCAGCAGCACAGCTGAGAGAGAGAGATCTTTCATCTACTGGTTTACGTCCTGAAGAACCACAACAGCTGGGACCGGGCCAGGCTGAAGGCAGGAGTCAGCGACCAGAGTGTTGGGGCCATCACCCACTGCCTCCCAGCCTAGGCTTGGACAGGAAGTGGTGACATACCCAAGTGGTGGCATAATCCACTGGGCCACAACATCCACACCCATAAGAGCTATTTACCTAAAAACCTATAGAATTATCCCATAATAGGTGCTGGTGCATATCAGGTTAATCATCTGTCTGTGCTATAGCACGCCGGTTCTTGTCCTGGCAGCTCCATTTTAATCCAGCTCCCTGCTAGTAGCCTGGGAAAGCAGCAGAAGATGGGCCAAGTGCATGGGCTCCAGCACCCACATGGGAGACCCAGAAGAAGCTCCTGGCTCCTGGCTTCAAACTGGCCAAGCTCTGGCCATTGTGGCCACCTGTGAAATGAACCAGCAGATGGAAGATCTGTCTCTCCTTCTCTAACTCTGCTTTTCAATTAAAAATAAATTGTCTTTAATTAAAAAAAAAAAGAATTGTCCCATGATAAAATGTTTGTTCTTCTAAGAGTCAGATTTCTTCGGAGTAAACAATTTGGAACTATCTCCCATCAAAGAATCACATGTTTAGTCTGTCAGTTGACTCATAAATTATACTTCTTTTTATTAAAGTCATTTCTAATTTTGCATCCCATTCCTACTTTTCCACTCCTTTTATTTATTTATTTATTTATTTATTTATTTTAAGATCTACAGAGAGGAGGAGAGACAGAGAAGAAGATCTTCCGTCCGATGATTCACTCCCCAAGTGACCACAACAGCCGGAGCTGAGCTGATCTGAATCCAGGAGCCAGGAGTTTCTTCCAGGTCTCGCACGTGGGTACAGGGTCCCAAGGCTTTGGGCCATCCTCGACTGCTTTCCCTGGCAGGAAGCTGGATGGGAAGCTGGGTTGCTGGGACATGAACCAACATCCATATGGGATCCTGGTGCGTGCAAGGGAAGGACTTTAACCACTAGGCTACCATGTCAGGCCCTCCACTCCTGGTTTTTATGCCCACGTACACAATGGTGTATCTTCTGTACTTGCTTCCTGCAGCTCATGGGTCCTTGCCAGCCTCTCTACACTGTCATTGCATTTGTCATCTTTCTTCCTTCTAGTTTTAATCTGTCAATATTGTACTAGTTGCTGGGGAAATTTTAGGGGAAAACCGTTAAAAAGGAACTTCAGAGCATTTCCAAGAACACACATCGATAAACTGACTTGGAAACCAGCACCATGTATCGGACAGTCCTCATCTTTTTTCTTTTTTAAGATTTCCGTTTTTTTAAGACTTATTTTTACTGGATAGTAGGATATACAGAGAGGAAGAGAGACAGAGAAGATCTTCCGTTCAATGATTCACTCCCCAAGTGGCCACAACAGCTGGAGCCAAGCCAGTCCGAAGCCAGGAGCTCGGAGCTTTGAAGGCCTGAATCTTCACAGGCCAGTGGCAGGGTGCTAGATCAGAAGTAACGCAGTCAAGACTCCAACCAGGACCACACAGTATGCCACCACTGCGGGTGGACACTCAACCTTCTGTACCACCCTGCCAGTCCACAGTCTAGGTTTAACCTGCTATGCCCCAGAGCCAGCCCCCAGTTTCCCTTTTTTAGATGAGCAGTGGACAGGGGATAAGGCCTAGGATTGGGTAGAGATGGGAAACAAGGGGCAGGGGCGGCCTAAGGTTCTAGAGGGTGTCTTGCACAGGAGGCTTGGCCCAAGGGGTCCTGCTTTAAGAGCTGAGCTGAACTAGGCCTGGGGCAGCAGGCCTGACGCGTGTGATGCATGATGCTCGTGGCTTTTGAATATCGTCGGAGGGTAATGGAATCATCCTGGCCAACCTCAGGTAGCACTGCATGGCTTGCATTAAACAAACAACATAGTTGGGACAAAGCCACTCAAGGAAAGATGTGAAATCGCTGAGCACTACTCTTTTTTTAAAAGTAAGTTTGTTTATTTATCTATTTTTAGAAAGGCAGATTTACAGAGAGGAGAGGCAGAGAGAGAGACTGCATCCTCTGGTTCACTCCCCAAGTGGCCTCAAAGGCCGGAGCTGAGCTGATCTGAAGCCAGGAGCCAGGAGCCTCTTCCAGCTCTCCCTGGCAGATGGTCCCAAGGTTTTGGGTCATCCTCTACTGCTTTCCCAGGCCACGAACATGGGATGCGGGGGAAGTGGAGCAGCCGGGAATGGACCAGCACACACATGGGATCCTGGCATTTGCAAGGTGAGGATTGAGCCACTGAATCATTGTGCTGGGCCAACACTGCTCATTTCTGAGTTTCTTGGGCCTGAGCTTGTTCCAGGAAATACCACCCCAAAAGCTACCTGCGCTTTGGCTACTGGCTCTTCCAAGTAAAGATTATGGAATTTTTTTCAAATTAATTTTAAAAATCCTTTTTAGGTCCTTACCGTGCGCTCTCCTGCGCCCCTCGCTCTGCCCGCTCCGCCATGCCCTGCTCTGAAGACTTTGCGGCCACGTGCCCTAGCAAGCAGGCCCGGCCTGCGGAGGAGGGGATGTTGCGGCTGCGCTTCACCCGGCTCTCGGAGCACGCCACGGCCCCGACCCGGGGGTCTGCACGGGCCGCGGGCTACGACCTGTACAGTGCCTATGATTATACAATACCACCTATGGAAAAAGCTGTTGTGAAAACAGACATTCAAATATCTCTTCCTTCTGGGTGCTATGGAAGAGTAGCTCCACGTTCTGGCTTGGCTGCAAAACACTTTATAGACGTAGGAGCTGGTGTCATAGATGAAGATTATAGAGGAAATGTTGGTGTTGTATTGTTCAATTTTGGCAAAGAAAAGTTTGAAGTGAAAAAGGGTGACAGGATTGCACAGCTCATTTGTGAACGGATTTTTTATCCAGAAATAGAAGAAGTTAAAGCCTTGGATGACACTGAAAGGGGCTCCGGAGGTTTTGGTTCCACTGGGAAGAATTAAGATTTATGCCAAGAACAGAAAATGAAAAGACATGCTTTTCTTAGAGAGAATTTTTCTTTAATGTGTTAGAATTTTGCACTTCTGTAAACTTAATGGCTTTAGCTTCTAGAATTATCTCCTTTGCTTTTGAACAAGGAAAACATCTTTGGTACAAAGTTACTTCCCTATTTTTTTCTGCAGTTGATGATTGTATGTAAATCTGTTGTGACTTCAAAGTGAAATGTGTATCAATTTCAGATTTTAAAGTGGTACTGTATTGTTTAATTCAATAAAGGATACCTCGCCAGCAATTTTTAAATAATTGCTTTATGAAAAAAAAAAATCCTTTTTACTAGGTAACAGACAAAGAAGGATCTTCCTGCTGCTGATTCACTCTCCTGAATGCTTGCACTGGCCAGGGCTAGGCCAAGGCAAAACCAGCAGCCTAGAATTGTATCTGTGTCGCCATGAGAGCGGCAGGATCCCCAGACTTGGAAGGTCTTCCACTGCTTTCCCAGGCGCATTAGCATGGAGCTAGCAGTGGAGCAGCTGGGACTTGAACAAGCATTAATGTGGCATGCCAGCGTGGCAGGCAGAGGATTAGCTGAACATGCCACAAAGCAGGCCCTAGTGTCGTGGTTTGAAGTGAGTGACAAGGAGTCAGAAGCCTGATCTTAATCTGGGCCTCTCACATGAATGGCAGGGACCCTGGTACCTGATAGAAACTGTAATGGGGAACGGAGCTTGCTCGGGAGGTCAGGCGCTCCCACATAGGACAAGGACACTCCAAGTGCCTTCTGAAATGCTATACTGAACAGGCGCCCCATGAGGAATTCCTAAAAGTCATTTACTTGAGAGGCACAGAGAGACCGGGAGATGGACAAGGAGAGCCCCCAGCTTTCCTTGTTCACTGCATGCAACCACCAGGCTAGAAACGGGGCCAGCACCAGGAGCCTGCACACCTGTGTGAACGGAAGGGATTTAGTTCCTTAAGCCATTTGTTCTGTATGGATGCATGCATGTGAGAGGCAGAGAGCAGAGGGCGAGAGAGATCAGGCTGAACTATGACTGTAAACACTCCATTTCACCCTTTTTGCCCTTTGGCCACGCAGGGACACTGTGCTCGTTGCAGACTGCCCACAGCACACCGGGCGCCATCGGGCAGGCTGCCTCTTTTCCCTGCCAGCTGCAGCAGGGCTTCTGGTCTCTCTTCTCCCCCAGAGCACCTCCTGGAGTGTAACATCCTCACACTGCAGCACAGAGCTGGGACTGAACGCACTGGTATTCAGATGAGCTCACAGTCCCACAGGCGGTGTGTTAGATGTCCTGGATTGCAATAGAACTTCGGCAAGTACGTTGGCACCGTGCCACAAGGCACAGCGTGCATGTGCTCAGACTAACCAAGACCCCAGCTCGTAGTCAGTCACCTTCCCAAGCCCCCCCGGCCGTCCTGCTGACTGCGGAGATCAGAGCCAAGGCTCCAGGGTTCTTCTTCCTCTTACTTTGTTTACCTTCAGATGCAGGCTAGTTGGTTTTTTGTTTTGTTTTGTTTTTTTTTTTTTTAAGAACAGTTTACTGCTTTGAAAAATATCTCATTATAAAACTATCAGGTAATAAAAGGACAAAGAAAAAAAGTAGAACTCCAACTGGTGCTTCCTAGACGTAATTACGGTAAAACATTAAGACATGGGGCCATGCTTTGAATGGCATTAGAAAGAAACAAACATAATAGGTTTCCAGGTGTTTTTCATAAGAATGGTTTGTCAGTTTTACATACAGAAAAAGGACCATGATACGGCACATGAAAAACACAAGTTGCTAAACTGTATCATAGCTCTCACGTAAAAAAAAAAAGTAAGACTCCCTGTATCTCGGTAAGTATGTACAATATTTTTTAAAAATGCAACATGCCATATTCTAAGTTTTGCAACCTATTTCCTTTTGGCATGTACATCTTTTCAGACAATATAAAAGCACAATATTATTCAGATTGGTTGGTGATACTAATGTACTGAATGGTTTGTCACCAAATTGTCTTCTAGGTGGTGCTCCTCACACACTGTCCTTGCCCGCTGGTGCGGCTGTCCGCTTCGCATGCATCCAGGAAGTACTGCCACCAGGGCGCCTTGCTTCCTGAGTTGCCATCTGGTATACCTCTCTGGCTCCTTAGCCATCTGTGAGTGTGACAGGTACATTTCATTCATTCATTCAGGTCCTTAACAAAAAAGGTCCAACACAAACCTTGGGTCGAGTGCTACTTCCGCTGCAAAGCCGTCTCAAGGCCTTCCCTCCCGACTAGAGTCAATTGCTCTTTTGTGTCCCCACTGAAACCCATTTAGATTTCCCTAGCAAAACAACTAAAATATCCCATCACTCTTATTTTTTGCTGTTAGACGGCCGAGACCAGCACTTCCCAGCTGAATCTCCCAGCCCCACCACTGTACTTGGTGCGTGGTAGGCCACTATGACTGAGAGTGGATGGATGAGTGAATAAGGAAAGGATTCAATACTGAATGAAGGGCAAATTCCCGCGATGTGGCCCTGGCATCGTGCTTTTCCAGCTGCTTTGAATCTGTCCGTCAGGTGCCCTGGTTGCAGCTATGTCAGAGGCACCTTCACCTTCTACCTGTTTCTTCCACACAGATGTCACACTTTTATATGGGTTTAGTTGCAAAAATTATTCAGTATTTTAAAATGCCTCAAAGCCACAAAGGTGAAGACTGTGGGGAAAGGCAGCAAGACTCCATCTTTCTCGGCACTGCTCATGGGAAAACTCAGCCGTCCCACTGCCCTGCTGTGTAAACACCCAAGGTGGACCTAGGTAGGACGCTGAGGGATTCAAACCAGCCCGAGACGGATGACACGCTGAGCAGAGACAGTAGCAGTGGTGAGAGTTCATGTGGAGAGAGGAACTTGGAGGGAGGGAGAGCATCTTCCTGTAGCTTTAATTAATTAAATTAATTTTATTCAGACTTCGCAGTAGAAAGTGATGGATACGCAGAGCCGACAGAAGGAATTTCCAGCCAAAGCAACAGAGGGGGAGGAAAGCACAGAGCCCAGGACTAACAGTAGATGGAAAATCCTCCTGTCAGGGACAGACAGCTGTGAGTAAGGCAGAATTCTGTAGAACTTCACAGAAAACATCAAGTAGCTATGAAGATGCACAGGGCATACATAGCAAGCTGAACTTCCACCTGTAGCACTGACGTGCCATTTGGATTCAGCTTTATGTCCCGGCTGCTCCAGCTCTGATCCAGCTCCCTACAATGACCTGGGAAGGCAGCAGAGGATGGTCCAAAGCCATGGGCCCTACACCCACGTGGGAGACCCAAAAGAAGCTCCTGGCTGCTGACTTTGGCCAAGGCCAGCTCCAGCCATTGCAGCTATTTGGAGAGCGGCAAATGGAAGAGCTTTTTCTCACCTTCTCTCTGTAAATCTGCTCTCAAATAAAGATAAACCTGCAAAACAAATAAATAGCAGATGCATGTCTTAAACGTGGGCATAAAAATCAAACACTGGAAAATGTCTCCTCTGCTGTGGAACCTCTTCTGACCCATCTGGAACATTCGGTACTCCGTACCTGCTAGTGCATTCCACTGAGTAAGTTCCTAATTAGCGCTTGTCCTGATTGACACTTGATAATTATTGTAGCTATGATTTGATTGTGTTTTGTGTCTGCTAACTCCCGCTGAATTCCACGAGGGAGGACCTTGAGGGACTCGCTACTGCCTGTAGTCTTGGCATCTGGCACACAGTAAATGTTCAATAAATAGTTGTTGCATGAGCTAGATTTGCAGGAGGCAAGAGCTGGGCCCTAGGCAGAGAGAGAGGAACCAGTTGTTCTTGTTCTACCAGCAAACCTTGCAACAGCTTTGCACAACCTCTGTGAGAGGAAGCCTGGAAGAGGATTTTGGTTCATCTCCAAGGGCTCCAGTGCATTGGGGTGGCTCCATTCCCCAAGTCGGGGATGGCAGGCAAGGCCCTCGGCAGAATTTTTGGATGCAACCGTGACACCCATCCTGGGCAAGAAATCCATCTAAAGTATCCTTTCCAGTTCAACAGTCATTCTCCCTGATGGGGGAAAAATGTGAACAGCAGTGCAATTGTTTTCTCTTTACATCTGATGGAAGGGATCAGCTAAGATAACTACAACGTTTTCAAAGCCAGGGAAAATGCCTCAAGTTCCATCTCCTAATGAATACAAGATGGAGAGAGGAAGACCCTGCAGAGCCAAGCACCTGCCAGAACACACAGTGCCCGGCAGTGGCGAGGCCCCACGCCTGTCCCAGGCCTCAGCAGCAGCTCAGAGCCTTCAGTATGTCAACGCCCTCCATGTTACCACAGGTGTGTGGCTCAGCAGAGGAGACACCAGTGTCCTCTGTCAGGGTCCCTGGGTCCAAGCCCCTGCTCTGCTTCCGACGTAGTCTCCCCTTGGAGACAACAGGTGATGGTTAAGTGACTTCAGTCTCTGGAGCTCCTGGTTCCTGGCTTCAGCCCGGCTCCTATGGGCTATTCTGGGCATTCGCATGGTAGACCAGCAGACTGAAGCTCTCCATGTCAGTTCATGTCTTCTTGTTTTCTGTCTCTCTGTTTTTCAAATACATTTGGAGGAAGTTCAAATCACCATTATCCGTTCCATTTATATTACTCAACAAACAGTGTGCCAGTCCTTTTGGCTTGATCTTAGAGCCACATGCTGCCTGGCAACACGTTGTTCCCCAGGGGATTGAATGCACAGTGGTGGTCCTCTAGATTAGGTGGAACAGAAAATTCCCTAGAGCCTTGTCTTTTGACTATACTTTTTCTTTTCTTTTTTAAGATATATTTATTCTACTTGAAAGTACAGAGGTATGGAGAGACAGGGAGAAGCAGAGAGGTCTTCCAGGCCCGGCACAGTAGCTTAGTGGCTAAAGTCCTTACCTCGAACGTGCCAGGATCCCATATGGTGCCAGTTCTAATCCCGGCTGCCGCACTTCTCATCCAGCTCCCTGCTTGTGGCCTGGGAAAGCAGTTGAGAACGGCCCAAACCCTTGGGATCCTGCATCCGCGTAGGAGACCTGAAAGAAGCTCCTGGTTCCTGGCTTAGGATTGGCTCCAATTGGCAGCTGCTTGGGGAGTGAAATCATCGGACAAAAGATCTTCCTGTCTCTCCTCCTCTCTGTATATCTGACTTTGCAATGCATAAATAAATAAATACATAGATAGATAGATAGATAGATAGATAGATAGATAGATAGATAGATAAATCTTTTTTAAAAGAGAGAGAGACAGAGGTCTTCCATCTGCTGGTTCAGTTCCCAAATGGTTACAA